AGATAGTTCTAAGTCTCGTGGCGCCATCTATTGGTTCGTTTTCTACCAAAAAGGAAAATGAATGGTATTCTGTTTTTGACACTCCCCTTTTTTAGTTTCGGGGCATGTTGAACCGAATCTCAATACTTCATTGTCCAAATCTGGATGGTGAGCGAACAACACGTCCAACTCTGGTAGTAGCAGGAACTGAATCAGGAATGTCCGATGATGTTCTTTCTGGCTCATCTTTGGAAGTCTCTGNCCAATACCGCACACCCTCGGTCCCTACGCAGGCTGATTCAAGTGGTCGCCCACCCGCACACTGACCGCAGCCAGTGATGCTTGACTTCGGTGATCGGTGATGCTTGACACGGCGATCCAGTGATGCTTGACACGGTTCCCAGCAGATCGGTGATCTGCTGGGAACCGTGACCTTCGATATTGAATAAGAGTGCGACAAATATTTGACTAAAAGATCTGTTATAAATTAACTTCAAAAAAATATTACCCGCTCTCTTTTCTAAACTTGAAATGGAAGTAAAAAAAAATTATGGAGAAAGCATCGGAAAGTCCCTTTTTGTACAAATATTATCGCGTCGTTATAAGCGCTACGTAGACAAGAATCTACGATAACTCCTCACGGTTAATCGAATGATATGATAATCGAATGGAATCCAATCGAAATTTCAACCACTTCCAAACCAATTAGAACACTCACTCCTCAATTCAATCTTCCTGCCTGATGACAATGTAAGTTTTAATCCTTTCCATTAGAAATGTTCGCGATATTATCGCAAAAGAAAATTTATCGTCAATCTAACTTCCCACTACTTTCCTATTAGATACAATTCTTAAATTTTAATTGAAGCTTTATGCGGAAGAACAATACAGGAACACTTGCAATTGATTATTCATTAGAATAAAAAAAAAGTTCATGTGATATCACCAAGGAGAATTTATGATCAGTTAAAATTTGACTAGACTTTCTGACTAGATAGAGCACTCAAATTTTAATTGGTGCCCTGGTAGGTAGGTTCCTTTTTTACTTCGCACTAGAGTCCCGTAGTGAACTGATCGTTAAGACACGGTTCCCAGCAGATCGAAATCAAGCATCACTGGCTGCGGTCAGTGTGCGAGTGGGTGACCACTTGGATTAGTCTGCGTAGGAACCGAGGGTGTGTGGTATTGGTCCTCGTTAAACTATTCTACCGTAAATTGCTCGACTTCGCGTGCAAGTCGTCGAACTACCGGAGCGGGGGTGCCATTCCCTCTGCAGAGGATCAAAATTGTGATGGCATGTCTTCGGATCATCCTCGGGGATGTTTCTCAGACCGTCGCCAATAGCCGATTGTGCAGCTCTAGTGTGACGTAAATGAGCTACAGCAACAACTTCGCACTAGAGCTGCTCAGTGATACCCGGTGGCTGAGTGGTAGCGCTTCTCATTCCCGTGCCACAGGTCCTGAGCTCGATCCTCGGGTCGGTATTAGCTCCATGAACTTCCCCCAGAGCTCTTATAGCTCTATGAACTTCCCCCAGAACAGCTAGATGCGTCACTTCAACGACATTGATTAATAGTTAAAATTCGTTGCTTTCAGTTTCAGTTGAATATAAACCAAAAATCAACTTTGAGAAACTTTGAAATTTGAAAAAGAAAATTCATCATTTCACAAATGTTACGAACTAAGAATTTATTTATTAATTTTATTTTTAATAAAGAAGCTCCACAAGAATTGTTTCAGATGCTGCTTTTTATTATAAACATCTATTTTCTTAAAAAAGAAAATTCAATTGATTTTTTCTAAAATTTTAAATATAATTGATTTACTACGGTGAAATATACTTGTACATTTGAAAAACTAATACTTCCCCGAACGCACAACGATAATCTATAGATTAAATAGATAAACATTTTAACAGTATGAATTAAATTATTTTTTTTAAAGAAATCATTATTTTAGGTATTTAATGTATTTAGAAAGCATTTAATAAAACTTAAAATTTAAAGTAAAAAGAGTTGATAAAATTTTGCTTTATTAGTTTAAATGGTATTTTTACAATTAAAATGGAAAAACTAAATGTTAATCAAAAATAGCCTAAATGGCTTGAAAAAAAAAGATTTTGATTTTCATAGTATGCTACAGATATTTTTTTAATTAAATAAATGTTTTAATTAAATAATTGTTTTAATTAAATTATGTTAACAGTTTCAGATACAATGGTATTGCAAAAATTCTGAAATTTATCTTATTTAATTATTTTTTCTTTCCCCTCTTTTTTTCTAAAAAAATTGTAGAGCAATTATTGTAATAATGGTTGTTTTAGTACTGATGAGCTAAAAGAATAAATAAATATATGCATTTAGAACGAAATTATAGAACCAAATAACTTATTATTGAGACTACGAGATTTGCTAAATACAATTCCGTCATATTTTAAGTTGCTGAATTATTTTAATTATGAAGATAAACGGCCATTTTAAAAATCCCGTTGAAATAATGATAATTAAAAATAAGAAAATACTGTATAGTTATAAAACTTAAATATATTCAAATATACGTAAAGGCCTGGTTTCTTAGGACAGGACGCCGTCAGCTGGAAATCAGCGCTAACCTCTGATTNTAATTAAAAATAAGAAAATACTGTATAGTTATAAAACTTAAATATATTCAAATATACGTAAGTATTGATAATAACATAAAATAAATAAAAATTTGATGCAAATAGTATAGAGTATAATAACAATAGTAACACAATTTTCATACTTCTTTAGCTTAATTTCTCTATTTTTCCTAATTTATCCTTTTTCTTTCATAGGTATTTAAATTAAACTGAATAAATAATTATTATTAAAATTTGCTAATATTTTAAGCTAAAAAAAAAGGTAAAATCGTTATTTTTAATTTAAAAAAATGTGATCAAAAATTGAGTAAAAAATAGCATAAAAACATTCTTAGAAATAAGTAAAAGGAATTTTTTTTTTCTTCCAATGCCCACCTGGAAAAATTGACATAGGTCATATATAGGTCAGGCACCTGAAGGGCAGATTTGTTGGCCACTCTGAATGTACTGCGATATTTCTCCNTTGGCGCCCCTTTGTGAGTAGCGCCCGGGGCATGATGCCCCCCCCTTGCTCCCCCCTCGCTACGCCACTGTAGGTGGGCCAATGTTGCTCCCACAGTAAGGGCAGCTAGTACAGAGAAGGAAAAGACATCCATGCCTTGGTCGGGATTTGACCCCAGAACCTTTCGATGCAAGGGTAGTTCCCTAATCCCTACGCAGGCCGGTCGGCTTAAAAGGAAATATAAATTCAATTATATTAGGTCAAAAATTAAATTTTTAGACTTGCGATTGTGCGAAGTTCAAGCATCAGAGTGAGCTCTCATTGGCTCAGAAGATGACTTTTGGAGTTCGAATGACGTCGCACCACATTTCGGCCAAATTATAATTTTGTTTCCTCCAATTTTTTAAGATTTTTGTGTCGTGATCTGAAGCAAAATTATCGTCATGTCTTGGAAACTTTCAGACATTTCCTGAAAGTGATTATTATTAATAATAAAATAATTTAGCAGGAGTTAAAGTTATTATTTTTGGGATCCAAATTTCAATGAACATATTTAGAAAAAAGAATAAAAAAAGCATTCTGAAGAGGAATATCTTATTAAGAAATCACGAATTGAAGGACAATTGTAGTTCTCCGTGCGGAAGACGGCAACAATTATAAAAGGCAGCACAATCTTTGTTGTTGTTGTTGTAATTCATTTACGTCGCACTAGAGCTGCACAATGGGCTATTGGCGACGGTCTGGGAAACATCCCTGAGGATGATCCGAAGACATGCCATCACCATTTTGATCCTCTGCAGAGGGAATGGCACCCCTGCTTCGGTAGCCCGACGACCTGCACGTGAAGTCGAGCACTTTACGGTAGAACAGTTTAACGAGGACCAATACCGCACACCCTCGGTTCCCTACGCAGACTGATCCAAGCGATCACCCACCCGCACACTGAGTATAGTCAGTGATGCTTAACTTCGGTGATCGCAGGGAGCTGTGTCTCAGCGATCAGTCCACTGCGGGGCCGCATTCTTTGGAACTCGAACGCATTTCAACGCATATTCGTCGAAATTTGAAACACTCAGACGTTTACAAAGCATAATGACTCCACTTTGGTATCCAAAAGATCTGCGCGTGAAGTCGAGAACTTTACAGTAGAACAATTTGATGAGAACATATACCGCACACACTTGGTCCCTACGTAGGCCGATCAAAGTGGTCACCCACCTGCTTAGTGACCGCAGTCACTGATGCTTGACTTCGGTGTTCTTCTGGGATCCGTGTCTTTATTATCAGTTCGCAGGGGGACTGGTGAGCCTTATATATTCATATATTGCTCTACTTTTCCCACTTAATTTAGTAGGTCCTATGCAGTGCTTCCATTGAATCGAGCGTCTGAGATCTTTTGTTATACCTAGAGATCACTGATCAGAACTAAAAGTAATTGTTTATTTCATTACTTAATTGCGCTAAGCTGAAGTATTAATAACATAAATAAACATCATTGTAATTTCACAGCTATTTGAATTAATTTGTACTGCACTAGACCTACTCCACATCATTTTCTACCGAATATTTTGGGTCTGAAAGGTGGATTGACAGCTCCGCACCTCGAGCCCTTCACAACTGCTACTGTTTTGAACGTGTTTGATATGACTATTTTCTAAATTTCTTTTCATATTTCTTATTAACTCATCTTCTTTTTAATATGCTATTTTTTAGTAATGTAATCTGAATAATTACGTCTTCAATCGTCGCACGATACGAACCTGCGATCATTTGAATTATGGTCACATGGATCATTAAAACTGTTTTCTTAAATAAATTGTACGTTAAGAATTGTCGACTTGAGCTGTCGTTAATTTAATTAAGAGTTTTGATCAAAATTTTATCACTAAAAGGGTTAATTACACGGATTTCATTGTTTTAGTAAACAAATAAAACAATCCTTTCTGAGTATCCAATCACTGATTGTCAACCTATATTCAGTTCCGCTTAACCAATCACTTACTTTGTAAGAATCAGTTCACAGTGCTTTTCAAGATGGCAGAATGTTCGGAACGGGAGGAGAAGCCCTCTTCCCTTGATGAACCTGTATCTCTCAAAATATACGTGGAGAATGCTGGTAGTCATGAAATGCGGAAAAATTGCTATAATGATTTAAATAGCAAGAACCACGAATCCTCAATCGAGGTAGATTTTTAAGTTTAATATTACTTCATAGGCTTAGGCCAATGAATTTCTTCAATCCACCCCACTAAACATAGTTATAATGTTCATAAATTCAACACAGAAGTTTTTGAACTTTTCAAAGTAAAATTACAAAAATTGTTGGAAGTTTAATAATATGCATTTATTTAGTTTTCAACCCTTTTTTTATATAATATTTATGCTGAATCACTCCCGAGATTTGTTGCTGCAGTATTACTCATTCTTCATTCATGTCTCTGTAATAACTCTTAAGTCTTGTGACTCATTTGCACTTTATTGCTGCTATAGTTGCCTATTGTCAATTAAGTTGTGAAGTTTCCAAGAACTGAAGTATAATTTGTTTTTGGTGGACAACCCCATGTGGATTGTAAATACGTGTGGTACTATATTTTGACGTAAATTTCGGGCTCGTATGTTTATGCTATACTTTAGTTATTGCACATTTATTTACGCCTACCATATTTATAAGACTTAAATGTATTATTAAATTGTTCAAAGTAATGAGAAACTTTAAAAATTTATTGATATTTAAATATTTTTATCATTTCACGATTTCCTGTAAAAATCTCGACTACTATAGGCGATTACACATACGTTTTTATTAATCTGCTAATCAATTACCCTTAATAAACTTTCTTCTCCCTACTCTTAATTTAAATTGAGATTGTTGGTATTAATTAAGGGATGCATTATTTACTGTATTCCATTTATTATTTTTTATAATGTATTTTCTTACATTCGTTCATTTTTAATTTAAATCTCGAATCAATTGCGTAACGAGTAACTTTCCTTTTACCTGAAACTAAACACAAAAACTTTTTAGGTCAATAAATGTATTTGTAAGGATTAGTTTTCTAAAAATAATTTTGTGGCAAACTTTACAAAATTCAAACACTATCAAATTTTTCATATGTTTATCTGACTAGTTTGTTATTGTTTTCAATTTGTTGAATTTTTTTCCAATTATTGTTTTAAAGTTTATTTTTTAAAATTTTCATTTTGAAAGTACTTTTAAGATTTATTTGTGTATTTAGTTTATTTCTGAATGAATTTAAAATTGTAAGAAGGCAATCTATAATCAATTTTGGATTATAATCTATTTTTATGGTACATATAATATGTTCTTTAAATATTTTTTCTTTACACAAAAAAATGTAGTTTTCACTGTGCACAATGTAAGGTTGTATAATATAAGAAAAGGGTTTACATTAACATTTTTGTGTAACACAATTTTATCAAATTTTGATTATAAAGCTGGGGTCAAGGGTTTCTATTTTCGTTTAACATATTAAAAAGCACTGCTGAATGAGTTATTTTAAGTCCTTACAATAAATTTTTGGTTGAAGGAGATTAAAGTTTTGAATTGCTTAGTTAAATTTCATATTTTCATTTAGTTTCTGATTGCTCAATGAAATAGCTTTATTTTCAGATATAAATAAAATTGTTATCAATTAAAAAAGTAAAAAACATTGAATTTTTTGTGAAAGAGACTTCTTCAGATTGTTTCTATTTTATGAACAGTTTTTTATTTTTAATTAACTAAATTTTTTTCTTTTGTATACATCTGAATGTGAAATATAGTATTGTGGATATCTCATTTTAGGGCAATGCCTACATTAATGAACACCATGTTTGCTGACTTTAATATTTCAGTTGAAAAATATCAGCCAGTTCTAATTATTTTTGTTAAAGTAATTCTTAGTTCCATTAACACTTATTCTAATTTTTTGAAATTTTCTTAAATTTGATAAATTTTAAAAAATTAAAAATGGGATGTTACAACTGTATGTTACAATTTTATATTACGTCAAACAGCCAGTTTTAAATTTATGAAATAGTTTTTAAAAATTGCAAAAAGTGTAAGTGGTACAAAGTGACAATTATAACAAAAATTATCCTAACTGTTTGATTTTTTAATTTTAACTGAGTTTTTTGTATTTAAAGTCTGCAAATATTATTCATACTTCAAAAATGGTAAAATTGCTTTTTAATAGGTTCAATTCGACAAACATTTAAAACGATATAGTTATTTTGTTTGAGTCGGGTCTGTTTAGAAGAAATTTGGGTCCGTTAACGGACCCTTCACAAAATATCTTTTCATAAAAACGGACTTGATGACCTAAAAAATCTCATAAAAACGGACCCTTCACAAAATGATTTTTCTTTTAATCGGACCCTTCACAAATTTGTTTATCTTCATTATTATTTTGTTAATCGAATAAACCCTTTCCAGGGCAGAAAACAAGAAAGATGGATGTAAACGAATTAAGTTTTGTCTTCGGCAGACGATTCTTCCATTATTCGTCCGAAATGAATATTCTGCGTTCAGCAGTATAGGCTAAATACCAAATATTTGTATGTTGCATCTCTAATTTAGAAGCAGCAATTGTTGTTTATTTTTTAAAATTTAATTTTTTTAATTATAATTTTACAGTGTTGAGCATAATCTTGTATGTCTTTACAATTTAAAAACTCCTTGAAAAAGTTTTTTTTTGCAATAACGGACCCTATTTGCACAAATTCATAAAAGCGGACCCTGGTTGAAAGAATGTGAGTAATTTTTTCACAATTTCACGAAAAACGGACCTTTCACAAAATGTCTGAATAGACCCCTGTGAGTAAAAAGCATTGTGAAGAACATACAAGCCTTTTTACTACTTTATATTTTATTAAAATTTTCTCATGTTTTATGAGAATTTTTAATTCATGTGGAACAAAACTGGAATCTTTGTAATTTATAAATGTTCTCTAAAAATATGTATGAGTTTGATCTAATTATTTAATAAGAATTCAGAGTTCTCACTTGGAATTAAAAAAGACAGATTGCTTCCTCATAGAAAAAGGCACTCACTTATCACCGTTAAAATTTATCAAAATATGTAATGACTGAATTTGATTCTCAATTACTAAATTATCCTCTTATACTATTATTTTATGTGTGTGTTTCTTAAAGTAATTCTTACTCATCAGGGGTCTGTTTAGAAGAAATTCGGGTCCATTAACGGACCCTTCACAAAATATCTTTTCATAAAAACGAACCCTTCACAAAATAATTTATCTTTTAATCGGACCCTTCGCAAATTTGTTTATCATTGTTTCATTATTGTTTTGTTAATCAAATAAACCCTTCCGGGGGGGAGGGGGGAGAAAGACTGTTCGAGACAGTCTAAGTTTCCCTAAGTTTAAATTCCAAATGTAGTATGCTAAGAAAATATTTCAACTTTTACAAACATCGTGTGCGTTTTCTTATTAATATTAAATTATAATTTTTATTGTAAATAAATAATTGATGAATTTATACTTATTTATAAAATTAATTGAATATTATGTAAATAGAAAATAATTTCTGGCGATTTTTTATCTCTAGGTTGCCTAAAGGAAGTCATTTTGACTGGTTTTTAACTGCTTTTTAAAATTTTTTTTTGTTCTGCTCAATGCAGTATTATTCAATATTTTTTTCTTCATATTTTTAAACTTTTTATATTTTTATTCAATTTTCCAATTGCATATTTGATTTTTAACTCTTTTAAATAATATATTGAAAATAAAAAAAATGCAATTAAAAAATATTTCTTTAATTGGTTTTTTGCACACTAGCAATTTCTTCATGAAGTGATAAATCACAAATATTTTATGCACCTAACACTATTTGAACTAGTTTATAATGAAAACATAAATGAAACAGTTAAACCTGAATTGGACAAAATTGCCAATAATAAATGCTATTATGTGTAAAAGTAAAATAAAAAATTTACAAAAATGACTTTTTCGTATAAATTTTTGTTAATGATAAATTTAAAGCACGTTATTGTAATACAGACTTAGATAAATTAAACTTTCTGCAAACAGGTAATTTTAATTTTAAAAAAAATCTACAAGAAATTTATTAACCTTGTTTTTTATGTATAGTTTCAATCCTTTCCATTCTGATGAAATTGTTTGAAAATCGCTAATTTTTTTTTGAACTGCTTTAATTTTATAAAACTCCAGGCTGCGTAGCGTTTTTAAAAAGTGCTTAAAGGTGCTTGTTTTCAATTTTTGTTTTTTAAAAGCCCTTAAAGGCATTTTTTCCTTGGATGATTTTAAAAAGTGCTTAATTTTCCCTTTCTCAAAATTTGATTTTTCCCATATCATGTTGATTTTAGTTACGAATTATGCAAGAAGACACAGTTCACATTGTTCTATTCAACGTTTTCACAATTAATTCAACCCCAATCTACATCTGCGTATTGTCAGTCCGTAGCGTATGAAAATGCCATTCGTTTTACATGATTCAAAATTTCACAATTTTTGACAATTGTCATAAACAATGCAATTATTTTTGACATGACTGTTAAAACAAGATAAGACTGTCAATTGTCGAAAACTTTCCAACCCTGCCTAGTTATATTTTTTTAAAGTGCTTGAAAATATTTTTTGAGTGCTTGAAAAGTGCTTATTTTTGTTGAATAATTTGGCTACGCACCCTGTTACACATATTGGTATATATTTCTTTAAATTTAGCAGTTTGTCTTACGAAATTTTCTGATGTATCCTAATTCTCCAAAATTAACAGTAGGATAGAATATGAGAATTATGAATTTTTAAAAAAAAAAATTTTTTTTTTTCTTTCATGGTGATAAAGTTTCTGCAAACAGCATTCTCATATTCATGTCAATTATGCGTGGTATCTGGTGTAATATTGCATAAACATTAAGTTACATTAAAATAGTCCAACCACTTTTATATCATCTAGGTTTATAATAAAGTAGAAGGAAATAAGAATAGTATTTAGAAATATGAGTGAAGTGATTTAACGATAACAAGTAGAAGTTTTTAACTTTATACAAATTTAAACTTTTTGTCTTTAAAATACATCTCTGCATCTCAAAATATGTGCCAATTGTGTAAATATGTGCAAAATGATTTTTATACCTGGTGTATTTTCTGGTCTTCTATAGATAAAATGCTTCAAGGCCTATTGAGTAATTTTTTTAGTATCTATTGCTGTGGTCCCCAACTCTTGGGCCGCAGGCTGAGTGGTACTGGACAGTGGACGCTTTAGGCTAAAATTATGTAGTTTCAATTCAGATATTTACCATTTCCTGAGGGATAACCAGTGTAAAAATTCTTTTTTAAGGCTTTTTAACTTTGACTAAGGTTTCTAAGTCTTATTACAGTAGATAGCTAAGTGTATACAATAAAGTAATTTATTTTATAAAAAAAAAATATTTAACTCGTTTTGTACAGCATAATTTACTATTTACTGACATGTGGTCATACATATGTATTGGGTTGTTCGGAAAGTAATTTCGTTTTTCCGATTGAGGATTTAATTGTATTTTTTTCAATCCTAATTTCACACTTAAGCCGCATTATCATTATATGTTTTGAGAGCTGACATAGCAAGGCTTGTGTGTGAAGAAGTTCAAATAATTCTATGCAGTAGTTTTTGGTTGGTGCCCTTTTAAATATGGAGAGCAACAAGCAGCATTTTCGTCATAATTTACTTTTTTACTATAGAAAAGGTAAAAATGCTGTTCATGCCAGAAAGAAATTCACCGATGTGTATGATGAAGATGTGTTGACAGTAGGCCAGTGCCAGAATTGGTTTGCAAAATTCCGATTTAGCAATTTTGATGTCGAAGATGCACCACGTTATGGAAGGCCGGTTGAAGCTTATAAAGACATGATAAAGGCATTAGTTGATGCAAATCGGCGAATAACAACACACGAGATTGGTGAGAGGTTAAACTTATCAAATTCAACTGTTTATGGCCACTTGAAAGGCCTGGGTTTAACCTCGAAGCTCGATATATGGGTTCCCCATGTTCTCCAGGAGAAAAATTTGTGTCGTCGCATTGGCGTCTGTGATTCGCTTCTCAAACGTCACGAAAATTATCCATTTTTGAAGCGCATCATTACTGGGGCCGAAAAATGGGTTGTTTATAACAATGTTAAATGCAAGAGATCATGGAGCAAAAAAGATGAACCGGCTCAAAGTGTTTCAAAAGCCAATATCCATCAAAAAAAGGTGATGCTGTCTGTTTGGTGGGATTTTAAAGGAATAGTTTTTTTTTTTAGCTTTTACCGGATAACACAACAATTAATTCGGAAGTCTACTGTTGCAGCTGGACAAACTGAATGAGGCATTTCAACAGAAAAGGCCAGAATTAATCAACAGAAAAGGTATAGTGTTCCATCAAGATAATGCGAGACCTCATACAAGTTTGGTCACTCGCCAAAAGCTTTTACAGCTTGAATGGGATATTCTACCACACCCACCATATTCTCCAGATCTGGCACAGTCGGATTATTATTTGTGCCAGTCACTGCAAAATTTTTTGGACTGTAAAACCCTTACTTCAAATGAAGAGGTCAAAAATCACCTGGATCAGTATTTTGCCAGCGAAGACCAAAAATTTTATGAGCGTGGAATCATGCTACTACCAGAAAGATGGCAAAAGGTGTTGGATCAGAATGGCCAATATATAATTTAATAAAATATTTATTCATTGTACAAAAATTTTCTTTTGTTTACCCCCCAAAAAACGAAATTACTTTCCGAACAACCCAATAGTATAATTAATGTCTATTTATCATAACATTGTTTACTTGTATATGTTTAGTAATTAGTTCTCCTCAGTTTTTTTTTTGCGAAATTGGTGATCCTTTGAACTAAAAAGTTTGGGAGAATCTGATCTATTGAATAGTGTCTTCAAAAAGTAGAGCGATTTCAACAAAGGGTTTTTTTTTTTGTTTTCATATCAGTGGATGATTTCTGACACACGGAGTCAAAATAGATCCAGGAATGTCTCCTAAGTTGTTGAAAATTACGAAATTAATTATTTAAGATTTTATTGGTTTAGTTAGTCTTATGGACTTATTTGAAATATACATATAAAGGATTATCACATGAAAACTATAAACTGTATTACCTGATAATTTAAAAACTTCATTTACTTTCAAATATTGGAGATGGTAATAAAAGTTTACATGTCTCGAGTGCTCGAAAATAGATGCCTATTCTCAAGACTCACCAGGCCCGACTGAATGAAGTTACTAACGAAAATATAATTTTATTTTCTTAAAATTCTTTTATTTTCTATTTTTTTTGTCAGCAAGTTTAAGTTTTCTGTTTTAAATCACTTTTGTTTCCTCATGCAGGTCTGGTAAGTCTTAAGAATAGGTGCCTATTTTTGAGCACTCGAAACATATCAACTTTTATTACCATCTTCATAAGTAAATAAAGTTTTTAAATCATCAAGCATTTCTTTCTGCTTCAGTTTCTTGGGATTATTAATTTAATTTTTAAACTCTATTGTTCTTATGCACTCGTAAGGTTTGATTTTCATTTTAAAACCTATAACATTCTGGTTGTGTAAGGTAATGAACTCTTAAGGCTCACATGGGAATTGTTATTGGCAAAAAAGTTTAATTATGTTTTAGATATTTTTATATAAAGATTTTAAATTATTAAATGTTTTTTTTTTATGTAGTTTAATATTTTTGCTTAGATTTTAGCATATTTCAAATATTCTAATATTTTGTTATTGCCATTTTTTTGATAATTCTAATTATGGTATTTATTTTCAGTTAACTGAAGGTTCAAGAACAGGGGATTTGAAAACATTAACTGATGCAGAATTTCTTCATTTGCTGAAAGAAGCTACTACTTTTAATCAGCCATCTCAACCAGAAAGTGTACTGTTGAAACAGTTGAGGAAAGAAGTGTCAGCAATTCCAGAAACCAGCAGCAATGTGACATATGTTGCCAACAGCTCTTCGAGATTTGTACCCAAATCTAACACTGACAATTGTGACCTTCCAGACATTTCTTATGAAAGCAATTATACCTGTCCTACTTCCCAAAGAACTAGAAAACAAAAGCATAATAAAAGTGATTCTAAACCTAGTTTAAATTTAAACGCATTAGAAAAAAATCCTAATCGTTCTCAGTCACTAAAAGACTTAAGTTCTGATTCCGTTAAATCAAAACAAAAATCTCACAAATCTCAAAGGACGCTCTCTCTGTCATCTGAAGAAGCTATTGCTCTTATTTCAGACTCTTTCACCTCAAAACCTTCAAAAAAATCCAAGCAATCTAATAGTTCCAAGAGTGAACTGAACAAAACAAATAGAGGCCCATCCAAAGTGCCTCCAAGTTCTGAATCTTTGATTACATTAGAAATAGATGATGTTAATAGCAAAGGACCTCATTCAAGTAATTGTGAAAGTTTGCCTTATCAGTTGTTAGTCAATGAAACTGCCATTTCATTACCATCCAGTAGAAAGAATTCAAGTAGTGAGAAAAGTGCAATAGACTGTCCTGTGGAGATTGAAATGGAAGAAATCAAATCAGATAAAGATACTAAAAATGACAAAGCATTGTCTAGTAATAAAGAGTTAAAAACAAAAAATGGTCCTCAGCAGAGCAACAGTAAATTTTATGTTGATTATACTAATGATGTAGATGCAACTGTCGCATTTCCACTAAAGGTTTGTACAGTTTTAATAATTTTTCTTGTATTTCTGAGAGTGTGCCAATGGTTGAAACCAGGTCCATTTTTTTTAAAAAAATTGATTTAAATAATCTAACTTAAAAATATAATAGGGGAAATATTTCTGTACAGGTACCTGCATCAAAATAATCAAGCAGTGGTATACCAGAAACTAAATATAACAGACACTTCAAAGATAAAACTTTTAGTTATTCCCAAGCAAACCTCTGCATGATTTTTTAAAAATTTGTGAAAGTTGAAAGTCTTTTTGGCGTTTGTAGTTGTTATGAACAGGTACCGATATTGAAATATCCCTTCAATTGATTATAATAATTTTTTATGGTTATTAAGTACCATAATGACTTTATGCAGGATTTCATCAAGTATCATTTAGAGTGGACCCTAACCTTTTGTTTAGTTCAGACAAATAAGCATTTAAATTTTTTTTGTCAAATAAGGTATATTTTTTGCTTTTATTTATAAAATTTTTTTTATTGTGGCATTTTTTAGATGTGCACTACAGTTGATAAAATGATGTTTTTTATTATTGGGTGAGTGCAAAAGTTCTACCCGTTTTTATTACTCATGAAGAGCAAATAAATGCAAAATGAACATTACCTATTGTGCATAATCCCCATTGCTATTCATGACCTCTTGCCATCTTTCTGGTAGGAGATGAATCCCACTGCATTAAAATGTCAGCACTTTCTAGTCCAAAAAGTCTTCGATGGCTGTTTTCACAGCATTAAGATCGAAGATTTTCTGACTGAAGGAATTGTTCAATGCATAAAATAATCAATCAGTTGGTGCCAATTCAGGAGAATAGGGAGGGTGAGATAAAGATTTCCAACCAAAGGCCAGTAACTTTCGGCGAGTGATGACAGCAGCATGTGGCTTAGCGTTGTGATGAAGTATAACATAGAGATGCTTAATGAGACCTGCCCGCTTTGCTACCAAATTTGAATGCAGGATGTCTAACTGAAGACCCTGCACATCCCACCACAGACTCAATAACACCTAGGCATGAAGTTCAGCTTGCGAAGTCGATGCAGACGGATCAGAAAGACGACAGTAATACTACACTTACGTTACGATACATAACCCACTTCTGATCTCCTGTCACAATTCGTGTCAAGAATAGGTCGTTTTTGCTCTGTGAATGCAAGTAAACAGGTGGCTTTTTTGTCACCCCCTTGATTAGCTGTCAGGTTATGTTATGATCCAACTTTCTCATAAAATCCAACTTAATCAGACGTCTCTATACCATTGTCTGGTGTGCGTTGGTCTCCACTAATTTTTGCCTGGTTGGGTTCAGGTTGTTCTTTTTGGCTTGGTCAGTATAGTCTTCTACATGTGATGACCGTCCTCTCCTAGCCTGATCTTGTCAGCTTCTGTCTCCTTCCTTAAATTTACTTACATTGCGACATGCTGCAGCTGCTGTACTCTTTTTATCTAACTTTTATACAAACAATGTCTTATATACTCCCTGCTTTTCAAATTACACCTTTCTGAGATTATTTTTTAGATGATTAATTTTGTGAGAAACTATGCATTTATATGTGAGGCATTCACACGAGTTTGATTGACCGACAAGTTCCTTCATTACAATGTCATATATGACGTCAATTTCATTGCAAATTTGCATATACAAAAAACTGGTAAAACTTTCGCTCTCACCCAATATATTAAGTATTTTTATTTATATGAATTTTTTTACGAACTTGAGCTTATGAATTTGAGATTGTATTTCTTACCTGAAGACTGTCCTATTATTTGAAACTTGAAAAATTTGTGTCCGATTGCCATTAGAATGTTAACTTGAAAGATAGATTTTCAGCCCTGAAGTTGTGTCCATTCATTAGAATATTCCTGTAGTTGAGAGGATTTCTATGCCTAAATAAACAATAAGTTCCAGCTACTTCTGGGTAGTGATCTGCAAGAAACTGTGAAAAAAAATCTTATAAGACTATCTCAAAAGTGTGTAATTTGTAGCCATTCCTGGGACAACTTCAGCACATTTTTTAAAATTCTTGAAAGTTTAAAATCTTTTTGCCACCTTGGCCATTGTATTTTGCACAGATATTGACATGGAAATATCCCTCTCTAGTTGCCAGAATGATTAAGGAACTATAAAAAAAGTAAAATTGTTACTGGAATTCCTATTTTATTTCAGTAATAAATTTAGGAAGCATAACTTTTGTTTTAAAATTCCTCTAGCTATTGTTAACATTAGTGTCAAAGTAAAACAGAGAAGTAGAAGTGTATGAAAAATTTATCTTTGGCAGACATAATGTCTCTTTTATAAATAGTTATAAGTCTTTACGAGATTTGATACCATTAAACAAATATCTTTAAATGGTGCCTCTGTAGAATTCCTGCTTACAGGAAAGTCAAATTTTTCATATGAATACAGTGTTTTCATCATAGAAAAAAAAATGGGTGAGAATTTCTCACCCTTTCTTAAACACAGGGTGAGATTTCTAAAAAAAAACACAAAAACTCTTGAAAAAAAAATCATTTCTTTAATTATAATACATTTTTAACGTCTTCTACTTTTTAAAGCATTGAATATTTTTGATGCATCATCATAGAAGATTTCGCCTTTACAAGGTATTTGTCCATCTTGCATAAGTGCATAAAAAATTTGAACGTCTTACATGAAGAAACCTTATCTACGGTAAACGCGTGGTTGCAGAGAAATGTGTTCTGAAAGGGGTTCCATGGTTGTGTTCTGTTGCTCGAAAAGGTTCTGAACAATACTGGTAAATAGGGAAGCTAGATAATGGGGCAGATGTTGAAAATAATGAAAGATCCAGTATGAAAAGTGAAACGGATTTTATTCTAAATGGCGTAATTCGAAGCTTTTTCCTAAATGCGGGAGATTAGTGAATTCTGAAATTAATTTATAGAATGCTCGAATTTCTCGCGGTAATAATTATTTAATGCGAAAAATGAAAAAATTATGCGAGATTCTCACGTTCTCGCGGTGTAGTGAAAACACTGGAATATTCGTGACACAGACGGCCGGTGGCTGAGTGGCAGCCCGCGCCACGGGTCCTGGGTTCTCTCCTCGGACCGGGCAAGGTTGACTCAGCCTTTCATCCCTTCAGTGGGTCGAAAAATGAGTACCAAGCATGCTTGGGAACTAAACACTGGGGGTTTCGCGTTCGGCTGACCATCTAACCGGAACATCTGCAAGGCTGTGGCACAGTAGGCCTTGGCCCTTTATGGGCTGTCGCACTACTGAGTTTAGTTTAGTAGTTGTGACACATCCGTATGGACACCAGCAATTCCTAAAAATTATTTTGTTATCCATCTAAAAATTTATTTTTTAATGTGATTTTAATCAGTATTAATATTTTTCCAAATACCTATGCCATTAAATTAGAAAGAGTAAATTTCATTTAAAATTTAAAGAAGGATGCTTAAAAGTTAGGGAATTTAAAATGCTCACTTATGGCAATGTATTTTTTCTTTCCTTTGAGTACGTAGCTAGGAATAATTCGAAATATTAGATAATTATAACAATTTTCACCCTACCATTTCTATTCGATCAGAATATTGAAATTTTATTATTCATATTTAGTCGAATATTTTCTTATATATTTAGCTATTTAACGTTTATTTATATTTAAAAATCTAATTAAAAAAAATTTTCAGTTTCTGAAGGAAAATAGTTCTTTTCGGTTAGTTGGACGCAGTTTAATTCTCCAATTTTTTATTTTATTTTAATTTTATTAATTTGTTGGATGATGCTATTTTGTTTAGTGTTCAAAAATAAATAGGAAAATAAAGTTAAATAGTTGGAATTTATTTCTCTAACATACCAGAAAGTAGTGTAAAATCATTTAAGTTTCATTAAATTTTCTCTAGGAGGATAAAACTGGCAATTAGTTTTCTTTGTTCATTCATAGGGCTTCATTCCTTCTTACTGAATTTGGATCAGACTCAGAAAAAACTGAAATTGATAAAAGCTTTTACTTTTAAAAGAAATTGAAAAAGAGTAATTCAGCAATTTTGTTGTGAAAAGCTGAAAAAAATTCACTTGAAAATAACCAATCTTTAATTAAATGAATGGCCGGTAATAATTATTTCATTTCTTATAAAAATTCCACTACAACATGGTGAAAGTTTCTTAGAGTTATTAAAATTGGAATTTTCAATTGGTTCAAAATTTATTTTCTTTAACAATTGCGTGTTTTATATTTTGTGTTATTGTAAACATACTTGCTGTATAATGATACTATTTAGTAGGTATTTATATTTTTAAATTAAGCTTCAATATAAATTATATTTTTAATCTTAAAATACAAGTAAGATGTATGCTGGCAGTATGTATAGGGCAAAATAAACAGTTAACAAGATTAAATTAAACAGTAACATAATGCAACTAAATATTACCAATTGTAATTAAAGGGTCAGTCAGTTAATGGTCAATCAGTGTTTTCACTACAGCGCGAGAACGCGAGAATCTCGCATATTTTTTTATTTTCTCGCATTAAAAAATGATTAACGCGAGAAGTTCGCGCACTGAATTTATCAATTTTAAAATGCACGAATTTCTTGAATTTTGGAAAAAATTTAGTCTTCCGCCATTTTGAAAAAGACATGAAAACAGCTACGACAAGTGTTGAGAAAAAAAGTGAGTTCTTTATAAGTTGTTTAAAGTTATCTCTAGTTTTCGCTGTTAATGAATTACCAAACTCCCTCATCGACAATTTAGAGCAATTTGTAAAAGTTTAAGTCTGTGAAAACTAATCTGGAAGACCTGACAAAGAGTATGAACATGGAAATAACTTCAACGAACTTCACTATTCCATAACAGAAATAAGTGAAGAACCTATGCTGGCAGATGTAGAGGATAGGAAAGTGTGTGCACAATGCTACAAATTTAATTAGTGATTCCGAATAGTTCAGCATCTATTGCAAGGTTATTTAGCCCCCCAAGCCGAATTAAAACAAAATATCGTAACAGATCGATTGGTAAGCATTTGAGCAAACCTAATGAGAATAGCTAATGAAAAAGTAGATACAGAACATTTTCCATATGATAATGCAGCAAAAATATTCAATGTTCAATGGTTTAGAAATCAGAAGATGTTAAAAATTTATTATAATTAAAGAAATATTTTTTTTAAAAGTCTATTCGGGTTTTTTTAATTTTTAGAAATCTCACTTAACTTTTTGAAATCTCACCCTGTTTTTGAGAAAGGGTGAGAAATTCTCTCCCATTTTTTTTCCTGCAATGAAAACACTGGGTCAATCATCACTTTTTTTCTCAAAAATGTTTATATTTTTTATATTTTTTTTTATGTTTTATATTTTTTTTATGTTTTATATTTTTTTTTTATGTTTTATATTTTTTTAATATATATGAATTGTAGTGACCATAATATGAATCTTGTCATATTTACCATGTTTTGAAAATGGTTGAAAAGAATTTTCTTTCATTATTTATATGAACATTTTTCTTAATTACATGAATTATAAATAAAAATTTTATGATATTCTAAAAATTACTTTATTTGACGGTTGTTTCTCAATTTTTTTTGAAATTTATAAATGAATCTTGTAATATTTATCATATTTTGAAAATGGCTGAAAAGAATTTTCCTACATTATTTTTATTGTTTAAAATTTTTAATTTTTAAGATTGGTCATATGTTAAAAAAAGTGGCCATGTTTTTATTTTTTTTTTTTAAATCACTGTTAAAACTTTAATTAGTCACAGGCCAATAGCTAAATTTCTTAATTTTGCCCTGTAATTTGTTGTAGCTAATGTGCAAAATATAGCCTTTTTTTTGTGTATAAACTCTACATATTTTACCTTTTGATTAAAGAAATTCTATTTTTTAAATAATGTAATATTTGACTTATTTTATTATAAACAAAATTTTGTTTGTTGAATGAAAAATAAGTATCTCTGATGATCTGATGTAATCTTTTGTATATCTAAAAATGAGGTCTGAAATTATGTTGATATTTTCTTGTAAAAGTCTGAGACATTGAATAGGGAGAACCAAACATATATTGTAACTATCAAGATTCTAGATTTTAGCCAATTTTTACTAAAATGATTGTATTAGGCTTGAAATATAGTCAGTGTCCAAAGGTATCAGATTCAGAATGGTCACTCGGTGGTTCATTTCCAAGAAGTTGTAATACAATGCTTTCTCTCATCGAAATTCCTTCAAATTGTTGCAATACTTATTTATTTACACTTTTCATGTCAAATGAACTATTAATTATAGCTAGTCAATTTAATGATCATACGATAATATTTTATCCCAATGATACATTCTAAAACCTCTTTTTCTATTCTTAATTTGCATTATAGATAATATAGATATTTCATTAGCCCTCTGCAAGTTCAAAGTTAGAGTAAGCTTTATTGTTAAATCTTACACATTTTATTGGCTAAATGTTTAGAACCATCTAGTAGATATAGTACTATTTAAAAATTGATATATTGCCTACAATTCAGAAAATGAATGCGAGTAAAAAATGTGGAATATGTATGTTTAATTTTTATCAATAGCCTTTCTAAAACCATTTAGCATTCAAAGACTGAGTGTTCTCTTTATTTGGGAAAACAAATGTGGAATATCTGCCACGATTTTACGAACTTACCGTTAAAATTTTTCATCTTTTAAATTAGTTTGACGAATGTAAAATCTAGTGTGTAAAAAAAATCTTTCAATTATTAAAAATTTGATCCTTATTTATAGCTTATTTCAAGCGTTGATGAACAAACTGAAGGTCTAACTGATCAATTCAAAAGACAAGTGTTTCCTATGGTTCCATGGCCCAAACCTGTACAAGTACAGTCTTTTTTCAGTTCATTGCCTATGGAGGGTGATTCATTTAGTTCTAGAAGTATGTTATGTATATGTTATAAATAAAATAAGATTAATTTTTTTACTGATTGAAGTTATTACTGATACTACTCAATCTTTTGTAATTTAAATGCAGTAAGAAAATACACTCAAAATTAAAACTTATTGCAGCCCTATCGCAATGTTTTTACTTGCATTAACCTTTCTATCCTTTTGTTAAGTATTTACATACCAGATTATTTGTTTTGGGAAATTTTGGGGGACAAAATTAAGATAGCATATAATTCAAAAAATAAATAAATTGTCTTTGCAGAATAAAAAAAAATCATAATTTCAGGGTGTCCTGCAATAGGAAAAAATGGGAATTATCAGACAATTTTACTGATTCAGAGAATTTCTCTAAGTTTTAAAACAACAGGCGATTACTGAATGGTACAATCAGTGAGGACGCTTCACTAAAGAAGTTTTCTCCTACATTTCTTAGGCCTGAAGTTTCCAATCTTTTTTTTCATCTGTAATTCATCGTTTTCCTATGGTTTTTCAAATTCCGATATATTTAATACTTTATTATGACACGCAAATTTCGAATTCGAGCTACTTTTTTTAAACGTTTTCGTAAAAATTCCATCGTAATTTCATGTCTTTCTGATGTTTATTTTTAAATTATTTTCGGAAATTTTCAGCCCCTTATCCGTGGTTTTTCATTTTCCGATATTTTTTACACAATGTTTTTAAGATGTGCGAATTTTGAATTCAAGTAGTTATTTTTTGACGCTTTCGATACTTGACGGTTATATCATAATTTCACATTGTGATAGATATTTGGCAGTTACTTATATATTTTTTTCCTCTTTACACATAGTTTTCCAAATTGTGACATTTTAAATACTATGTTATTACAATGTATGAATTTCTAATTTTGAGTTATCACTTTTTGTCTTGTGTTTAACTCATAACGATTCCATCGTAATCTCACGTGTGGCAATTGTTCTTTCACAAGTTATTTACCATTTTCCAGCCTCTTTGGGATAGTTTTTTTAAATTCCAGTATTTTGGAATATTTTACATGAGAATTTTGTATTTGAGTTATCCCCTTTTGACGTTCAATTCATGATGTTTCTTTTATAACTTCATATCCTTGAATGCATAATTTTTCAGCTGTTATCATTTTTTGACTCTTTTTACATGTTTTTTAATACGTTATTATGACATGGGATTGAATTTGATTTGTCACTTTTTGACACGTTCGATTCCTCCTTAAACCCATCTCTTTTTCCCGATTTTTTTCCTTCTAAATCTGATATTCTTTATACAATATCATAACGACAAGCTTGTATTCCGAACTTAATTAATCACATTTGTTTCTCTCAGTTCGCAATGATGCTGTCGTAAATCTACGAATTAAGTTAAATTTTCCCTGCAAAACAATTTGATAAAAATGAAAGTATTAATTTATATTTTTTGGATACATAAAGTTTTTATTTTCCAGATGAGAAGCAACTTCAAGACATAAATGGAAATCCTTTTACTCGACCTTCTAGACCGTCTAGCCTTGCATCCTTTGTGTCAACTACTCTACTGGACTACAATAATTCTAGTTTGATCTCAGAACCTAAAAATCGAAAAAATAAACGTGCTAAAAATGCTGTGGACAACTCAGTCCGATCTGAAGACATAGCCGGCTATAGAGGTAAAGAAGATATAGATTCTTTATTGGAGTACATAAATTCATCAGACAAAAATAAAAAATCTACAGTCAAAAGCCCACAAAATCAATTGTTATCAAACAAAAATAGCATGTTTCATGATCATGACAAGAAAAAATCAATCAAAGATTTTAAAAATTGTCAGAAAAACTTAATAAATTCTGAAAAGAAGAAATTAACCCGATGTAATTCTTTAGAAAGTATCCCACACACTGAAAAAGATAAGCCATTGACCTATTCATACGAAGCGGGTGATACTCGAATGGAATCTCCACCGAAAGATGCCACTGTTGCTAAACAGTTAGATATCAACAGTAATGTAGAAAAACGTTTATCTTATTTAAATGAAAAAAGTAATAACGCTAGCAGTACTGAAGAAATATGTACTCAAAATTTGAATTACACCTTTCCAGAAGTTTCAAGTTTTGCTGCTGACTTCTACTCTACTGCTAATGTTTCTTCTCAGACGAATGAAGAGTCTGGTTTCCACGTAGTGAAGAAAAGACACAAACGGAAACAAAGTAAACGGTCTGATAGTTATAGGTGGAGGAATGGTCAGATACAACATAAAAATGGAATGATGATACCTCTTGCGGATAGTAAATGCGGGAAGCAGGATTCGCGTCGCAAGTCTACGAGTAGCGTGCCCCATTCTGAGCATACCTCTAACGATAATTCTGATGCAGATAGTGTTCACTCTCTTCCCGTTGTTAGTTCGAACCTTCCGACTCAGACCGGGACTCTTCCTCATACGACTCCATCGTCATCGTCATCCACACCTCAGGCGTCGTATGCAGATATAGCTAGAATGCCTATCACAAAGCTCAATTCACCTGTACCATGCATGATTTCTTATAGTGGACAAAACAAGCAGCAAGGTGGTGATATGGAAAAGATAGATTCAACTACCGTTCCTCATACAAGTCGTAAAGTTTCAGAATCCCATGAATCTTCCAAGTCACTTAACAAGGAATTATCTTGCGCAGCTGGGGAGGACAAGCGAAGCGGGCCTGAAAGTACAATACAAACTCATGTTAAATCAACTAGAGAAATAAACACTCAAACCGAGCCACAGGGTTCAGACACCGCTAGTTCACATGTTAAAAAAACTGACACAGGCCATGTCTGTAGTAATTGCCTTTTGCCACAAAGTGAATGTTCTTGTTTGAAACAGCCATCTAGTGTTCGACGGAAAACAAAAAGTGCTGACATTCCTCCGGTTATCATGGATAACATGCCTCCAGAAACTAATTCCTGTAATTTTACATTCGGATTTGGCATCGATGAAGTCCTTCGAATGACACCTTCAGAAAGTTTGCCTTGCCCTAAGAAAATCATTAATGAAGATTATGTTGATAAGTGTGATTTTAAAAATACTGAGACTGTAGATAAATCTATAGCTTTAAATGAAGTTTCAAATGCTAGTAGTGACTCTTATTCTAAATGCTCATTAACTCCAGATGCAACACAAACTATTCTAAGTCAAGATCTCCCCAAGGAAAAATCTAGTCAGCGAAAAAAAGTCACTTATGGTTCTTCTGGAAAAAGTTTAGTTTATTGTGAGACTGAAATTAATTCAGAGAAATTTAATTCTTCACAATTCTCAAATTTCATGGAAAGTGGTAAGTTGAAAGTATTTAACTCTATTTTTATTGCTTGTAATGAATATTTGGCTCTTCTACTGGATGTTCTTCCAAATATTTATATTTCATTTATCTGAATATGTCTGAAGTGAAAAATTATACTATTTTTAATGTAAATTTAAATATTTTTAATGAAGAATAATGTAAAGTTTTTATTTAAGGAAAAGGTCAGGTTTTTATTATGGTAAAGAAGGGCTCCGTTTACTAGCAGTTGCTGACTCAATGTTATAAAACTAATATACCTATATGGTTATATTACGTTATGCGGCTTTTCATATTTACATCAAAAATAAACATCAGACTAAATTAAATACCTGTGTGAATATATATTTATATAATTATTTATGATGTAGAAATAAAACACAATTTATATTTTGAAATATTTAAATTATTTTCAGTTATAGGTAAAAAAAAATTCAAAATTAAAAAAAAAAACTTTCATTATTTTCTTGTAGAATAACAGAGAAAGCAGAAACTAACGAAATATTTTGAAAATTATCTAAAAATTGTAAATTCTGAAACAGCAAAAAATTATGTTTTATGATGAACAATTACACTGTCAGTACATGAATGCAAAGCACAACACAACATGTAAATTTGAAATTTTAAAATTTTTAGAGCCAGGCACTTTTCCATTTGAAAAATCTTAAAACTGAAACCTAACCTACCCGTAGAATAAAATTAAGACAATTTTTTTGCAAATGCATGGATTTCGGTGTAAAAAACAAACTATTTTTCATTGTTTTATAATTTCCAGACATCAAGGAATATTTCCCATCCTCCAGATATATTTCCCATTCTAATTACAAAAAAAAAAAAAAAACTCCTTCTTTCTAGCAGGGTTTGTTGATTTAAATTAGCTTGATTTAAATCAATATTTAAACCATGATTTAAATCAAATGATTTTTTTTTAAAAAAATGATTGATTTAAATCAACAGATTTTTTTAAATATATATATTGATTTAAAGAGTTTAAAAACAGTGTTTTAAATTATTGATACTTTTATTTTTTTTCTTTGTTTTAAAATGTATTATTGTTGTATTAATTAATTTTAGCTTATGAAATTACTTTCTTTCTTGGTATGTGTTAAATTCCAACACTTTTGAAATTACATTTATAAGAATCTTTTGATTCTTGAGATTGAAAGTACAGATTAAAGTAAACATTTAAGTATTTTTTTCACATAATATGTTTATAGTATCTTTAACAATATCAGATTTTCGATAATGAAATTTTGTGAAAAAAATTTCAATGAGTACAGAGGTTTTTGTAAAAATTTTATTTAGCTTAACTTATCTGATGTAGGATTAAAAATATATAGATTAAATATTTATTGATGAATGACTACATTTATAAAATCTGTAACATTTATTTTGTCATTTTAAAAATCAGGAGTAAAAAAGAAAAGAAATCACCATTTTAAGTTAAAATTATGGTTTGGTAATTGAAACTTTGTTTTAATATTTAAAGTATTCTTTAAATTTTCTATTTCATCTAGTCTTTAAATTTCAATCATGCATTTGTTTTAAAATAGTTGCTATGCAATCAAAGCTATGTATTATAATGAAAAATTGTTTTGGGTAGTTTATTTGAATAAAAATAAAAAAAATTTGATTTGAATAAAAAAAAATCTGATTTATTTGATTTTTTTTTTTTTTTTTTTTTTTTTTTTTTTTTTTTTTTTTTTTTTTTTTTTTTTTTTTTTTT